CACACCCACACCCTAGAAGTCTAGTCTCCCAGGTCGATGATTCCTGAAGCAGTATTTCATGAATTTCCGTGAAAACACTCGAGAAACTCATCGTTTTCGGCAGGAATCCCGTTGGAAAATACTAAAAATTCCACCCTGGAATCGATTCTGAGTGGAATCGAATGGATCCAGTGACCAGATCTGTTCAACGGGAATCCTGCTTCAGTGAAATCTCCGGAATACCACGGAACTGACCGTTTCCTTGCTGGATCGTTCGACCTGGACTGTCAAGTTTAAAGATGAAGATTGAAAAAAAAATTCAAAACCCATCATCATTAGATGAAAAAAAAATTTACAACTGAATTATCAATTGTAAACATGTTAATCGACTACCAAAGTAAATTATTTATAATTTAATATTATTATTATTCCAACGTAGTTTTTTTAATTTAGATAATTATTATCAAGTAAAAACTGATCAATCCATTTCAGCTTTAATATGATCTTTATATTAACTCTGGCTACCCATTCCTTTTTTTTTTTGATGAAAACCCTTTCTTTTGTCCTCTTCTTTATCTGAAGCTGAACTAAAAAATAAACATAAAATGTTTTTTCTTAATAAATCTAAATAAAAATAAATTATTTGATTTTAGATAATTAATCGAACAGCTAATTTAATTTTAGATAAACTTGAAAAATCTATTGGTATATGGCAAACAAATTTTATTGGTTCTGATCTTTCTGATCAATATTTATATAATCGAAAAGGTGAAGTTAACTTTCATACAATATTATTTCTTAGTCTTGTATTAGGATTATTTTGTTTTTCTGATTATTTTATTAATACAAATAAAAAAATGAATAGTTCTATATTTTATTAATTTAAGGGAAAAATACGAGAAGAAGTTTTTGTTGAAATATCTTTTTTCATTCGATCAAATATTTCTGGATAGATTGTTTTGATCATTTGTGGTGAATCAACTTGTTGCGTTGGTGTTTTTAATTTTTCCATTGCTTCAAGATATTCCATATGAAGACGACGCATTTTATCACTTGATTGTTCAATATATGCATCTAAATCTAATGTAATGGACTCAAAATCGGAATCAGATGTTGAAGAAGATTGTCTAAGCCAATGTTCTTTTGAATAAATCGGTTCACTTTCAAATATACTTTTTGATGAAAAATTATTATTATTATTATTTATTCTACAAAAATAAAATAATTTTATTTGAATTATTTTAAATAATTAAACATACGTTTGTTTTTTATCTTCAATTTTAGTTGGTAGAGTTTCTTTTATCAATTGATCATTCGATGATGATGATGATGATGATTTAAAAGCACTAAGAGGCATTGAAAGTAATTGACTAACCATCGGTAGACGATTTGATGGTTCATCTTTTGATTTAATTGATGATAATGTCGACGAATTCGATGATGAAGCTACAAAAGCACTAACTGGTAATGATAAAAGATGTGTTACCATAGGTAAACGATAATCATTCGGTTTTTCAGGAACTGATTCTGGTAACCATATTGTTGATGGTAAAATTTTAATTGAATCAACACCTGTTGAACATGTTGATGTTGAACAAGATAAAGATGATGATGAATTATCAGAATTCGAAGCAAATAAAAATGAACCATCTTGTGTTGATAAATGAAGAGAAGATATAGCATCAATTAATATGTCAATTTGTTCACAATCCGGTGCTAATAGACATGGTTCAGCTCTTTGTAATTCTAATAATTCTTTTTCTTTAGCATTGAGTTTAGATCGTAAGAAAGCGAATACTTTCGATATATCCTAATTAAAAAATAGAAAATTATTAATTATCGAATCAAAAACATAACAAAAAATAGTCGTCAAGGACTTATTATTATATGTGCATGATGTTTATCAATTTAGAGATACGCAATAACTCTAGTGACATCTTTAATAACAAGATTTATTTCCAATGATTTTTTTTTTAATTCAATCAGAATCTTAGATAAAAAAGTGTTTCGAAAACAATTTAAATTATAAAATGTTGTATTAGATTAAAATAAATCTATAAACCTTTAAAAAAGTTGTATAGAATTGAAAAGATAAGAATACTAAACATTACCTTTTTGTCTTGGTTATGAAAATCCATATTTGAAGTCGGTGATAATGTTTTATATGAAATAGAATCTACTCCGGCCATTGGGATATTTATTTATGTATATATTTTAATAGTCGTGTTTCGCCTTCTTTGTGCTTTATTCTTCAATAACATGGGAAGAAATAAGAAAAATAAATGACGACATTCTTTGACCCAATTGAGTGCATACTATTGCAAAAGAAAGAGAAATACTATGTTGAAAGATAAGAACGCAAAAAAATATTAATGTAAGCGCGACTCTCGCAGTCAATTATCATATTCAATCCATAATATTTCTTCTTCTATTTTTACATTTTCATTAAAACAGAATATCAAATGAATAATTTTAATATAATAGAAAATCTTCTTTTTTTTATACATATATCTATATTTCTATTTTAATAATCAAAACAAAACAATATGTGTATTAGTTTTAACATTAATCATTGATCATTTATTTTCTTATTTTATAGTTTTGATGACGTTTGTGAAAATAATCGTAACTACGTAGTTGATTTTTCTAATAAGTCGTGGTTACCTTGTTCTTTATCTCTCTATTCTATCAATAATAAACCCATTTAAATTTGATTATTAATTGTTATTATCGAAGATTTTATTCAAAACACCAGGCGATTATATAAAACTTATGGCGAAAAAGAATGTTAAATAAAAAATAAATTAAGTATCTCGCGTAGAATGAAATTATGAAATAAAAGATGTATCAATAGAACGAATTTTTTGTAACAAGAATTTGATAAATTCTATGATAATCGAAAGTATGTACATTCATATTATCTAAGACCAAGCGAATGAAATTGTTTATTCGTTTGCTATTTATTATTATATTATAACCGAATTTTCGATAAGATAAGAATTTGAATTAATAATTCTCGTTTAAAAAGCTTCACATCAAAGAATCAAAATCTAGATGAATGATTTATTAAATTTTCATCTCATAATCTTATTAAATTAATAGCTTCTATTCGCCAACCTGAAATAGTTAACCAAAGAAATATAGAGAAGATTTTTTTGTTTTTTACTGATCAATAAATAAAAATGCTATAATTGATATAGTTAAGATATTTATTAATCAAATTCATAATTCAGTTTATTTTACTTTGAATACAAGCTATATATGATAGAAACCAATGAATTTCTAGAGAAAGAAAAAAACATGATAGAGCAATAGAATTATTTTTTATTGTCCTACTTTTACCATATGAGTCAAACGCAATATTTCGAAATACTACTGTCGAGTAATAGTATTATTAAGCAATAAACTCTAGTAAATCTGCTTCTAAAATGTCGTTGGAATTGTTAGCAAATGAAATCTTATTTGATGTATTTGAATATTTCTCTTCAGTTGATTTATTTCATTCATTTAATGGTTTAAATTATCGTTTTGATAATCTTCTTCTTGGATATTTTCGACAAAATAAACATTTTGATTTTCGTTTAATCTATAAAGAAGATTTAAATTTAATTCGTCGACGATATCTTCCATTATTTATTAATGAAATCACATCAATAGATCTTTCAAATGATGATACAAATCCAAATGAAATTGATTTATTTATTTCTCGTTTATATCCACTTCATCGATTTAATAATCTTCATTCAATAACATTATATAATATTTATTCAATAGAAAAAATAATTCGAATTCTCGATGATTTAAAACATATGTCTCATTTAACTCATCTAAATTTTAAACAAAATCAAATTCAATATAACCCAAAAACTCTTCATAATATTATGAATACCATATGGAGTTTACCTAATCTTACTCATTGTTGTTTAGATTTAATATCTAACGGTAATTGTCATATAATGCCACCAACTATCATCTCATGTTCTTTAAAACATTTATCAATAACTAATTTTCAATGTGATATGGAGAGTTTATTAGTTTTATATGAACATACACCTTATATTGAATATCTTTCAGTAAAACTATGTGATTCATCAAATGATTATCCACAATTACCATTATTATATTCATTAACAACATTAAATATAATATGTGAAGATTCATTTCGATTAGTTGAAACTCTTCTACGAAAAACACCTAATCTAATAAATTTAACAATTGAACTTAATAATATTAATATTATTGAAACAAAATGGCAAGATATTATTCAAAAAGATTTATCAAGTTTAAAAACATTTAATCTTCAATCGAATTTTCATATAGATGATTATGATAATATTGAAGATGAAATTGATCGAATGATAAATTTATATCAAACATATTTTTGGATTGAACAACATAAATGGTTTATTCGATGTATTTGTTCATCAGAAAATAATTCTCATAATATTCATCTTCATACATTACCATATAAATTTAAAAATTATTCGATTAATACAAATGAAATATTTCTAATAAAATCAACTTGTCCACAAGATCAACAATATCTTAAATATAATTCTGTTCAAAATCTTCAATATAATTCTAGTTCATTGGATGATATTAATACAAATATAATTCAATTTTTCAATATTCGATATTTAACATTAACACTTCCATATGATAATCAATTTCAAATAATTATCCCACGATTCGATAATTTAATTTATCTTGAAATACGAATGGATACGAGAACTTATGATGAGAATGATTTATTTCAATTACAAAATTTAATTAATCAAGCACCACGTCTTTATTATCTTAAATTTTATTCATGGTCAACAATATTAACAAAATTCGAAAGTAAAAATAAAAAAGTAATTAAATTCAAATTATATAATAAAGATATAAATAATTTTTTGAATTTTATTTTAGAATATCAATATAAAAATGCCACCTTATTCTCTTCAAAGTTCATCTGTTCGTTATCTTAATTTACAAGGATGGAATTATTCTGGTAATCATCAATTTTATAATGAACAACAATGTTTATCTTTAATTCAATCACCATTGGGACAACAATGTCAATATCTTCTTATTGAAGTTGATAAACGAGCAAATATTATTCATTTAGTTCAAAAAATGAAATATCTTCGTACATTAAATGTTCGTTGTAATGATAGAAAAGATAATGAGGAATTAATTAAATGGTTAAAACCTCGTTTACCATCGACATGCACATTTGCAAATGATTCAACAGCGCCAAATGAGATTCGTTTATGGATTCGTTGAAGAATATTAAGATTTTATTTAAGAAAGCGATTGAATGTATTTATAACAGTCTAAAATAGCTTTTTTTGCAATGGGTAGTTTTAAATTGTTTATATATTCAATCAGATTTTTCGTTGTTTTGTATTAACAAAAAGTTAATTATTTTATTTATAAAAGACTTATATTGGTTATAGAAAAATAATTCATTTCGAAGTATTGAATGGGTGTGGGTATGGTGGCATAACTGTTCCTTCTTATAATATCCATAATCTCACATCCTCAAATATAAGATATATTCTCCATGATTATTGTAGATAGTTTGCTTTGTTCCCAAGAAGTACATTGAGAGATATCTATACATTTAATTTACTTTATCTTTCACTTGTGTTTTTTTTAAATTTATCGACTATATTACATGCATTATTTCTGTGTATTCACTTTCGGAAATGTTAGTTCTATTTATTTGATTTTTTTAAAGTCATATCTCAGTGTTGCCAGGTCTTTCGGATTTTAGAAGATTTTTATTGAAGTAAATTTTATTTATTTGTTAATATTCAAAAAAAATTTTTTATTTGACAGCGACTCAGTGGCTTATACTTTTTATATATTTCGTTTATTATATTTTGAATTTTGTTGTTGATTTTCTTATGGTATATTGAAACATGCATTTTTTGAAATAATAAATGATATGATTGAGAACAAGATTTAGAGAAATTTAGTTTAACCGGTAAAAATTAACTGTTAAAAACCTTAAGATGATATTACATTCATTTATAACTAATTAGATAAGTAAGAATTATTTCTGTATGTAAATAACAACAAAAAATACACTACAATATTGAACAAAGTTTTATGTTTATTATTTACGTCATTGTTGGAACTATAACAGTGGGTCGTTTACGTATCATTTTCGATAAAGATGTTTTTAATGGTTCTGTAAATTGAAATAAAACAATCATTACAGATGCCAATGATCCATCAACAAATATGAAAGCTATACGAAAAGAATATTTTGGTGGAGCTGTAAAAAATGACATAAAAATAAAGATTGTATAAGGTAAACCAAGTGCAACTAATATTATTACGAGTATAACTATACGTCGAATCATTTTTAAATCTCTTTGTGCACGTAATACAGTATTGACTGGTAATACACGTTGATTCATTCCATGAACATATCGAACCATTTTCCAATAGAGTAATATAATAGTTGTCATAGGTAATAAATAAGCATAAGTGACATTAAATATAGTTATAAATGAAAAGTTAAGAGGCATTTGACATGTCTGATCATTAACATGATATTGAATTTGATTAGTTAATATTAATGGAATAGAATATATAATACTACAGATCCATGTTAAACAAATAAGAAACATTTGAAATCGAAATGATTGATAATATAAACGAGTTGGATATAAAATTGAAATATATCGATAGATTGCCTGTAATAAATACGAATAGTTTTGTATTGCTACTGACATATGACTCATACAACCTTGAAAAAGGCACCATGTATCATAAAATTGAATTTGCATGAGATCATTGCGAAGCGAAAATGCAGCTAGAAATAACATAGCACATCCAAATACAAAATCAGCTAAAAATGAATTTGCCACGAGTAACATTGGTATTGTGTGACATGTTTTTTCAAAAATTATTATAAATAAAAATATAAGAGCAAGTATAACAGCAAAGGCAGTACATATAACCTGCAAAATATCGATAGGAATAAACCATGGTTGAATTTCTGTTGAAGTTAAGTTATTGTTAAGTAACATTGTTCTTGGAATAAAAGTAAAAAAAAAGCAAAGATTAGATATAAAACTAGCATATCAATATATATATATTCTATCTTTCAGAATATTAATAGCTGAAATCTATGCTTGTAGTATTAAATTTATTAGTTTAACCTATTCAAAAAAACCAATATCTCTTTTATTATCATGTACCGAAGCAAGAATTTTTTTCTAAGGTTTTAATTTATTGTAAATAAATATGAAAGTATTATCTTTTTTTTAGGTTGACTTGCTTTGAGTAACATATAAGATGAAAATGAATGAGTGCTTACTGTTATTAATCTGTGCAAATGAATTTAATGATACGATGTGACCTATTCAATAAAAATATTCCTCTAGCTCATACTGAACACTTAAGTACATTTGAAAATATCGCGATTACTAACTGGTACTGCTTTATACAAAACTCTGAATATTGAAAAATAACTCAGGTGCAATTATGGATTTACGGTAGGGGGATAAAACAAACTTCTGTACTTCCCGTACTTTCGTACTTCAGGGATATAAAAGTCCACCTGTTTCTTCTTGAATTGAAGACAAGCTAGGAAAATAACTTGATTGAGTAAGATTTTTTTTATCCATAGAGTTAATATAGCCGTCTGGATGGCAATCAGTAAGTTCACCTTATTGTTTTCTTTCTAATTGAATAGGTATTTTGATTACTGCTTCAAAATTTAAATAAAATATGTCTAAATATCTATCAACGAATGTAGAAACAAAACAGATCTTTAATTTTAAAAATGAACAAGTACTATTTTTCATAACAGTCTGTAACTAACTGCGTCACTATGCAAGTCTTTAGCACGTCTAATGCTGTTATTATGGTACAAATATAAATTAGCGCTTTATATGGATTCTATTCATAAGAGTCAGATCGTGTTCAGGTTAGAAAGTATAATGCAATATTTTAGTAACTTGAATTTAGGATAATTATTAAGGATCTTATAAGTCAGTTCTAGTGATGTGAAAATTAATAGGAATGTAACAATTGAAGAAAAACGAATATTACTGTTTTAGCACATGCTTATAGTCAGAAATCTAAGAAATATACATAATACGCATTTTACATACATGTACTCTATCATATGAAAAATATTTTTATTCTTAATAGGGATGTTCCTTTATAATCTTTATACTTTTTTATAATAAAGAATAAAGATAAAGATTAACAACAAAAACCAATACAATTTTTAGAAAAATAATAAGACACTCAAAGAAATTATGAGTAAAATTAGATTATCGTGTCAAATATTATTGAAAGAATTTAATGAAATAACTAACATGAGATTAACTTTTAATTAAAACATGTGACATTTTTAACATTAGTTTATTCATTTTGTTGTAATTTACAAAATTATTCTTTATTCTTCATAACGGCTTTTGCATAGTTATTCAATCTTTCTAATTTATCTTATTTATTTCTAACAGCAATAAAACACATTTCATCAATTCTTTAGTCAACAATAATATTGTTTAAGTTTTGTCGATCTTTTTTTAAGAATTCATCTGTTTTTAATTATAGGATTTATAGATATTCATTAAACAGTTTTTCTTCTTTTTTTATTATGAAAAACAAAAGACAAAAATTTGATTTAAAATTAAATCAACGGAATGTTTTTGTCTTGTTTATCACATAACCATGATTGAGGTAATTGTTCTCGTGTAAGACCTTCTAATGATTGTGTAACACGAAGAAATTCAATCATTAAATTCAATCTGACTGTTGATCGTTGTCGTATAAGAAACTGATTGAATGCTTCACGTTGAATATGAATTAATCGATTAGATTGATCACGAATTCTGTCAATAATTTTCTTCAAATTTTCTTTAGCAGATTCTTCTAAAATTCTTTCTAATGAATAAAGAAGGTATTGACCATAACTTGCACAATAATGATCACAACTTTCATTTTCCGATACAAATACATTATTATA